CTCAGGTCCCCTTATTAGGACTGGGCAGAAGAAAATCCCTTAGTCATCAGCATTGTGAAAATCCCAGAATGGTGAGTGTTCAATGAAAAGATTACCTTTGGGCACCTGAAAAATAATGGGGGAGCTCAATAGACTAACCATTAAGCCTGTCTACACACGCTAAGTCAGGTGGAGGGTCTAGGTAATTAGCTGGGACATTCAAAGCCAGAGAAACCGTTTTGGACCTTCTGCCCTGAGTCGGCACAGATTATTATTCAAATCTCTCAAATATTTTTCGAGGAAAAGCCATTTTAGGTTGTGTCTACATACTATGAGAAACAAGGCTTAAATATGACTGGTTAATAAAAGTGGTTTGATAGATTTTTTTTTTAAACTGGATTATAGGCAGCTTGGGGGATGTGAGGTTCAAAGCTGTAACTTACTACCTGTGTGACTTTAAGCCAAATTGCTTCCTTTCTCTCAGCCTCAGTTTTGTCAGCAGTAAAATGGGACTGCTCATAGGACTGTTTTTCAAAGGTTGTTGTGAGGATTAAATATAACAAGTGCAGTCTTCCTAACTCAGCACCTGGCAAGTAGGAAGCACTCAAGAAATGTTACTTATAGTTATGAGTTGTAGCGGGGGACATAACTCATTCTGGGTGTTTGGAGAGATTGTGCATTTAGACACCATCCAAGGAAGGGGCCATGAGTCAAGGATCCGTGGCCTCCATCCCTATCCCCTAATGGAGTGCCCAGGAGCTGAGAATTGTTCTTTCCTGAAGACCTGTGAAAATATGATCAGCTGGTCTTCCCACCTTCACCCTTGGTCTCCATCAACTTCTCCTAGTTTGTGTGTCTCTTTTGAACCCAGAACTGGCTCTGTCTGGTCAAGAGGTGAGGGTGGGGTGTTTATGGATACTGCTAGAGAGGAGGCAGGCATTCTTTGTCCCACCAAAGGGGATGGTGGGAAAGTAGGGAGGCTCAGGAAATGAAGTCTAGCTGAAGTCACAGTTCTTGCCTCTCCTTTGGAGGGCAGTTGGGTCCCTATAGAGAAAGGATGGTGTCTGGGCAAACCCCTCTCCCTCAGCCTTTTCTCCTGGGCCACAGGGCACTTAGCCTTGTACCAGAGGGTGCTAGGGATATGTGATTGGATGTACAGAGCACCATGACTTGGGGAATTGCCCTCTCACTCGTGCCCTGGCTTGGGCAACCTGAGGAAGGGAGTAGAAGGGAACACTGCCTCAGTGTTCTAGAGAAGAGTCCACTGCATATGGTGTTCATGGAATTGACAGGACATTTGCCAGACTGAGAATCAGCTAAGATACCTGCTGAAAACCTGGGGAGATTCCAGCATCATTTTTATGGTGAGAAATTGCCCATGGACTAGACATGAGCAGTGAAACTGTTCCCATGGGCACTGGGATGTGGCGCTGGTACTTGATCTACACCAGTTATCCAACATTGCAGTAAGAAGAGGTACATGTAGTAGCTTTTACCACATCCGCAGCTCTGTTCTTCACCCTTAGCTGAATTACCTCTTCCAATCCCCTCTGTATTCCTTTGAGGAACATTATAATTGTCCCATTTGCAGAGTAGGCTCAGAAGTTAATTAACTTGGTCAAAGTCACCTGGTGTGCACTCAGATTTTGTGACCCTTGACAATGATTTGAAATCCCTATTGAGTTGGAAGGATCTGTGCTTCCTCTCTACTTAAGAGTATAGCTGGCCAATCCTTTGGATACTAAAAAAAAAAAAAAGCACCTAAAGGTTGAAATTAAGCAAGAAACGGCTCTCTAGGGGCCACAGTTCAGATCCTGGTTCTGTTAGCCTACGCACTCTGCTACATCTCGACATGTGTACTGAAAACAAACAAACGAAAAAACAGAACTAATGATAGCTTTCTTTCTTTTTTAAAAATTTACTTCTTTATTCATTTTTGGCTGTGCTGGGTCTTCCTTGCTGCACACGGGCTTCCTCTAGTTGTAGCGGACGGGGGCCACTCTCCAGTTGCGGTGCACAGGTTTCTCCTCACGGTGGCCTCCCTTGTTGCAGAGCATGGCCTCTAGGGCACCCAGGCTTCAGTAGTTGCAGCACACGGGCCCAGCAGTTGTGCCTCTGGGTCTCTAGAGCACAGGCTCAGTAGGCCCACAACATGTGAGATCCTCCTGGACCAGGGATCGAACCCACGTCCCCTGCATTGCAATGTGGATTCCTAACCACTGGACCACCAGGGAAGGCCCAGCTTTCTGTCTCTTAAGAAGATGAGCAACAGACAGTGGGAAGCAGCCTTAGGGCTGATCTCTCACGTGAGAAAAGGCTCACGTTGGAGCATCCTGCATACCTCATGCTTGAGCTCCTCCACAAGGTGTCCTTCGTCAGCAGAGACGGCCAGTGCCTGGCTGAACCAAGATAGCTGTTTGCACCTTCTCTTAGAGTCACACTGTGTTCCTCATCCTTCCTGATTGTATGCTTGAGAATTACCATGACTAGGCTCAACCCTTCTACACTGAAGGTCCTGGCTGAACTGCATGAAGGTTTTCATTTCCTTTGCCATTAGCCCTTCCATGTAGAAGACATTTCCAGACTGCCCTGGGTCCTCAACATCTTCCTTCAAGTTCAGTGGCCAGAACCAAAAATGATACAGCACATCTTTCTAGATAATAATAGGACCACAACTTACTCTGAGCTATTTTTTTATTATGGGGTTGGAGAAAGGTTAAGTGCAAGTCAGCAGTTACCAAATTTTTAAAAAGACCCGTGAACTGAGTGCTGGTGCATGTAGCAGAGGGGATGATTTTCATCCCAATTCAGTTTCCCTTATCTTCCCAATCTGATCTGAAAGGAATAGGCTCTGACTGGTGTCCTTTTCTGGGTCAAAACTGCATGTTGGTGGGAAGAGTGGGTGTGTTGAAAGGTTGATCATTTCAGCTGTAGCAAAACTCTTACCAACTGCCAAGCACTCACTCAACAGACCAAAGGAGGCAATTTATAGCTGAGAAGAATTATTTTGTCAGCAATTGCCTGCCCTGACAACTGAAGCTTACCTTCCTCACACTTTCTACCAGTGGTGAGAAGATCGGGTGTTCAAAAGGAAAAGTTAAGGCTCAGGAGACCCACATGTTAGTTGGGCTTCTCTGCCTTCTGGCCCAGGTCATGATCAAATAAATTTTTAAGTTCAGTGGGTTTTAATGTTCTCAGTAGTCAATAGATAGGATTAATAGCCCTCCCCGCTTTTGCAGGTTGGCTTAAAAAAGAAACAATACATGAAAATGTTTTGCAAAGTGAAAAACATCATAGAAATGTTATATGTTAATGTACATACAGGAGATATGAAAGGAGTCGCCCTTTTGCTCAAACTAAATTCTAGAACAGGAATAAAGAGGAAATAGTTTGGGTTGAGAATCATTTAGCAAAATGTTAATTATGCAAAATCTAGAAAGCTTTCCTCATACTCCCCTTAACAGCCCAGAGTGAGGTCACCCTCCATGCCTTGCAAGTGCCCAGCTTTGGGCTTTCCGACTGACTGCTGCAGTGACTTCTGGTCTTGTCTGCTTATCCCTTAAGCATCCTGAAGCCAGCACTGGTCACTAGCTTCTTCTCCTTCCTTCTACAGATTTTCCCTGTGCCCTTCCTAAGCTAGGTACCAAATGAGTCACAGGAGACAGCCATGGGCAAGACATTGGGAGATAGACATTGCTGAGAAATGACTGAATTGCAGTTGCAATCAGAACTTGCAAAGAAAAAAAAATGTAGGGTTCTGAGAGAATCTGTAACAGGATACTCTGGGAATCATGTAGGGTGTTGGTGGTGATTTCAGGAGATAGAATGCATTGCCCTCTCAATAATTTACTCATCAGTGTGTATTCCACCCTCTGAAGTTTACAAAACACTTTCTCATACATTTTGTCACTTGATCAAGCAGGTTATCAACCATACAAAGAACGCAATGCTTTCACCCTGTTCTAGAAGTTGAGTAACCTAGGCGAAGGGACTCAAAGTGATGATCTGAAGGTCAACTGTTAATATTAACAGTCCTGTAACTTACAGAACTTTTGACTCCAAACCCTGAACTCTTTCCACTCTGCCCATTGGCTCACTGATTTCTCCTTTATTTTGTTGTTTAAGTTTGTAATTGTGGTAAAAGTGACATAATATAAAACCTAGTATTTTAACCATAGTTAATGGTATACTTCAGTGACACTAAGTACATTCACATTGTTGTACAGCTCTCACCATTATCCATCTCCTGAAATTGTCACCTTCCTAAACTGAAACTCTTTCCTCATTAAACACCAAGTCCTCGTCTCCCTCCCCACCCTACCCCCAGCCCTTGGCATCTACGAGTGTACTTTCTGACTCTATGAATTTGACTATTCTAGGTATCTCGTGTAAGTGGAATCAGACAATATTTGTCTGCACCTAGTGTAGATTGGAATGCATTTTTAAGGTTAACTTTATATATACCCTAAGAGTTGACATTTTAAGAAGTGGCTTTGAGAAAAGAGCAACAGGGACAAATAATCCCCTGGATATTTTCCTGGGAGACATGTGCGTAAATGTGGTAATTCCAGTACTGGGGTGCGGCGGGAAGGGAGGGTGCTAAAATCCTACTTGGCTTGCAGCCAAAAAATCCAAACATGAAACAAAAGCAATATTGTAAAAAATTTGATGAGGACTTTAAAAATGGTCCACATCAAAATAATAATAATAATAAATAATTTTTTTTAAAGGAGAGGGAGGAAAATGCAAAACTCCCACACTAGGTCCAGTGTATCAGTAAAATTTTGCTGTCTTTCTCTTTTTCTCTCCCTCCCTCTCTCACTCTTTTTCCCTCCAAAGCAGTGGGTCTCTTGCAGAAAAAAATAGCAAACAGATTTTATTTTTTTTGTACCTTTCTTGTGTTTCCTGGTCAGCTCTGTCTGCCAGCATATTGTTTTAACTCTGATGGTGATACAGCATTGAGCTGTGAACAATTAAACATAAACACCAGCCTCACTTCCATCCTCTTCTTTCCTCCTTAGGTGAAGGCAGCTTCCAAATATGTGGATGTACCTGTGAGTATTTGAAAACTGCTTTTGTTGGGGGGAGGGCTTGGCTTTTATGAGAATTTTGATAGTGCTTTTTTCATTAGTTGCCACTAAATTGTGTAGTCCTGACTTGAATCACTAGAAGAAAGGAAGGCAAGAATATTTCCTGGTAAAACTGTTTTGAAATGAGAAGAGGGTATGGTTTCTTTGAGCAGGAAAAAGAGATTGTATTTGAAGGTGAACCCGATTAACTTTCGTTTCCATTTCCATTGGTTTCTCTGGTCTGTTTCATTCTGTTATCATCCGGCCCCCTCCCCTCCTATGCGCACACCTTGGGAGTAGGGCGTTGAGCTAGAAATTTGCACAAGCATGCCAGCATTTTTTAAAAACAAATAAATTCGGAATTTGTTCATTTTGGGGTCAGTTCTGCAATTGTTTTAAAGAAACCTTACAAAACTGCTTATAATTAGTCCAGACCTCATTAATGAAGAGAGCTCTCCAAGTTCACAGATAAAGCACTCAAAGTTGCCCAAAATTTACATTTAAATTGAGGTTAAGTACTACACATGAATGCTAGAGTGTGGGATTACCTGTGATAAATCAGGATACATTTATAGACCGACTTGGGCCTGCTTATTAGCAAAATAAAATTGGAGAGATTTAAATATATTCCAATAAAGGGGAAAAGAAAATGATTCTGTTTCTCCATTTCTAACAAAAGAGGTGTGAGTCTATTATAAAATATTAAATTTAAAGAGCTTATCTCAACAGCCACCAAGGGCCTTGTACTGAGCGTTTCTCATTCTGAACGTGGTTAAGTACCCTCCTTGTTCAAATACTTATTTGTTAAAATTTGTTTTTTTCTAAAAGGATTTATATTAACATTTAAATTCATTTCCCCAGGAAGCTCAGTGTGTAATGGTTTATTGGCTTATTTCTCAAAGGATGGCAAAATGGAAAATTGGAGGGAGTTTAGCATTAGCATATATTTTGTTTGTTTAATGAAAGAATGTACAATCAATAATTATGCTTTGAATTTATATAATACTTCTCATCGGGGGACCCCCGACTCCTTCACGTAGATAGTCCTCATAATGGAAAAGAGAAAAAGCTCACATACCTGGAGCTAGGAGAGAAGTAATTTATTTTTGCAAGCCCCAGAGTAGAAACTTTCAGTTCACGGGGAGCAAACTACTCAAGTTTTCTGAGTCTGGTTCTCCATCCTTAAAATAGGGATAAAAACCCACATCACAGATTCACTGTGCAGGTTACATGGCACATATATGGGACACTCTGCACTGTACCTGGCATTCTCTAGATATTTCTGTAGCAGGAGCAGGGTGGGGTAGGGGAAGATATTTCTGCTCTATTGCACAAGGGAGGAGGTGGGATGAATTGTTGACATCCACCCTGGCTTAGCCAGGCCTTCAGCAGTCATAGAAAGGGAGCTTCTAGTCCCCAACCCAAAGATCTGGTAACTGAAGTCTGTTTTCTGTTACACCTCAAAGCAAAGGGGAGATCTCACCAATGAGACTTAAACAGGTGACCAGTGGGCAGGACCTAAATGTTGGGGGGAGAAAAAATTGATCTGGCAATTGGTTCTATCAACTGAAATTATTGGGCAAGTCAAATTATTGGGGGCAGAGGTCAAAAAAAGTCAAGTTTTGGTAATGTCATTTGGCTCGACCCACTTCCTGTGAGCCAGGCTCGGATTTATTGTCAAAATGAGGACAAAGTGGATTCTACGTGGACACAAAAAGGAACAAAATTCAATTAGCCAAGTTTCCTCCCCCTAAGGAGACAGAGAAAATGATGCAGTATGTCCCCAAATGTGGTACATTACCCACCAACAATGTATAATCTCATAGTAACAAAAACTGCAACCAAGCCTTATAAACAACCTCTGTGTGCGAGGTGTTGTTCGAAGCACTTTACGTTTAACCTTCACAACAATCTCCCTGCAAGATAAGGAAATGGTGGCCCTGCAAGGCTGGCTTGCTGAGGATCCCGTGGTTCATAAGAGGCACAGCTGAGCCGTAATGTTCTTAAACACTACATCATCTGCCTGATATGATTTCCTTTAGTGCATAGACAAACATCTTTTTTTGGAAAACTGAGAAACTATTTTAATGGATATTAGGAAAAATACGATCAGCATGTCAGATGTGCTCTTTCACCATGATTTCACCCATTAGTATGCCTTGGGACAAAGCTCAACTTTAAAATTAAGTTCCTTAGAGTATTTTTGCACCTGGTGGCTCAGACAATAATATTATAGCAAATGTTTTAATAAGTAATTTTCCAGAAAACATTAGTACAGGATACACATGTACTATAAATACATTCTTCACCCAGAGTAAATGATAGTTCACTTCTCAATAATCATTTACTTCTCGAAACAGCCCTAGGAGGGGAGTAATAGGACCCCCGTGTTTCACAGTGAGGAAACTGAGGCGCAGGGAGGTTCAGTGGCTGCCACGGTCACCGGACGAGCTGATGGCTGCATGAACATTCACGTGCTAGCCGTTGATACATAGAGCCACTGACACCGGCTCCCAAGGGTCAATGGTGTGTGTCTGCTTCCAGCTCTGCCTTCAGTGAGGAGGGCACATTGGAAGCTCAGACTCAGCCGTGGGGCGAGTATTTACACCACGAAACTGTCAAGCACTACACTTCAGCATTGGTGGGTTTTGTTTGATTGTTTTTGTCTTGAAGAGCCAGTCTACCAGCTCACCAGCAAATATCACCTATTAAATCAGCAGTCCCCAAACCAGAATGTGCAGAGGTGATAGTTGGCAAGGTTTTTTGGTTTGTTTCGGTTGTTTTTGCTGTTTTAATAGAGATTCCCGGTCCCTTGCCTCTGGAGATTCTGACTCAGCCATTCTGGGGTGAAGCCTGGAGATCTCTAAGAAGCTGTCCACTAGATTCTGGTATTTTGCACAACTTTGGGATCCATTGGGCTAAATGAGTGATTCTTAACCTTTGTTGTATACTGGAAACATGGGGAGTTTTTTACAAGTATCCCTATGAAGTTGCTTGGCAGCTTAAAGCGGAATCTCTGGGTGTGGGGTCTAGGCATTACTATCTTTCAAAGCTTCCCATATCCTTCTCATTTGCAGCCAGGTTTAGGAGCTCTTGGATAAAAGCATCTTTTAAGTTGTTTCTAGCTAGGGTGAGTTGACCTCTGTTGCCCTGTGAGGTTTTTGGCACACAGTTTATTGGTTTAGTTTCTTGTGGGGACTAGTATTTAGTTACCGCAGAGGTTTGTCTCTTAATTATCTCCACTAAGAGAGAGAAGCGCTGTTACCAGTCATTCAAAACATTGCGTGATCCCCAAAGCACATCTCTTTGTCTTAGGTGGAGTATTTGCCCCTTCAGTACGGAGCAGATTTGCATTCCTAATTAGGGCTTGCTTTAGGATGCTGGAAATTTGAATTCGTTTCCCTCAAGCTCAGAAATATCCTGGGAGGAACATGCCATGATTAAAATGTCCTATTTCTTCCAAGCCACCAAGTGGCTTCTTCAAATTATGTCTTCCACACATGGATTATAGTTAACTATATTGGGATTTATATAGTCATTATTTAATTATTTTCTAAAATCTACATCTCATGCCGTCAGTCTGTCCAAGGCACGTTTAAAATAAACAATGTAATTGTGAAATATTAAAAACCATCCCCTAAAGTTTTTCCCATTGTTACTAGATAGCCATGTGGTTTAAAGTGAAATGACAGTCATTCAGTTGTGTCCGACTCTTTGCAACACCATGGGCTGTAGTCCATGGAATTCTCCAGGCCAGAACACTGGAGTGCGTGGCCTTTCCCTTCTCTAGGGGATCTTCCCAACCCAGGGATCAAACCCAGGTCTCCTGCATTGGAGGCCAATTCTTTACCAGCTGAGCCACAAGGGAAGCTTCATTTATCTAATAGCATCAGTTGTTTAACCAAGAATGTTTTTCATCTATATCTACAAGTTAGCTTGTTGGTCAGTGAACAGTTAGGAGTTTAACCAGTTTGGTTGAAAACCTGCTTAGAATGCATTGCACAACCTTCTCTACCTTTTTAAATGGGAACTAACAGTACTTGAACCTTTTCCCTGTAACCAAGGATCCCCAGTGGCCATTTAGTGACCTGCTCCCACAAGGACTTCCCAAGACGTAGCCCTTCACAGCCCCAAACCTCAGTGTATGCTGAGTCTACATGTCTGATGCTCCAGTTTGGCAACCTTCTCCCACAGGCTAAGGGTATCAGGAAAGGTGATAACTTTCGTCAGCACCTCTGTTTCAAATAAGTCCCCTCATCGCCCTTCCTGGTCCACCAAAGGATGGAAAACAGACCTGTCAGAACTGAACAAAAAGCTGGTCAAAAACATGGGGACCAGAGGACTTTGAGAAAACACATTTTCATGCAGATTTGGTCTTTTTTTTTTTTTTTGACATTGGTTTCTCTGAAGCAACTTTTTCCTTCTTGGTTCCAAAATAGATTCCAGAGGTAGGTAAGGGTCATGAAGTGACATAATCTTGTGGGGGATGAGGGGGTGAGAATCACAGTGGCTCATGTTTGAATAGCGATTTATGGCCTTTGAGGCAGTTTAACTTCCATTATTTTAGCTAATGATCATAACAATCCTTGAAGGTAAGTAAGGGAGCTGTTATTAATCCCATTTTACAGATGGTTATAACCAAAACCCAGAGAAGTTGAAAGGATTTTCAAAAGCTCCATCGTGTGGGGGATCAAATAAAAATCCATGTAGTGTGACTGAGTAGTTTAAGTAAGGAGGTGGGACAGAGGCTTATTCATTCACGATTTTGTTCATTTGGAAAATATTTAGTGAGCACATACTATGTGCCATCATTTCTGTGCTGAGGATACAATAAAAAAAATAGATCAGATAAGGTCCCTGTATCCATGGAGCTTATGTGCTAAGTGGGAGAAGACAAAAAGCAAATAAATCTATTATACAGTGTCAGATGTTGGTGAGTGCTATGAAGAAAAGTAAAAGCTCAGTCAAAAACTCAGTTTTTTAACTCCCTGGGTGAGCTGAACTGCACTAATATTTATTTTCAAAGTTTTTAAAGCATAAATGAAAAGCCGCTTTAAGGACAGCAATTTAGTGAAAAGAGAAGGAGGGGTGAAAATAACTGTTATTGTAGATCACTGTTGTGGTTACAAATAGGTCTGCTGAATTTAGCTTTGAATCTTAGCTCTAAGATGGCTGCCTGCATCCAGGAAACCTGCCACAAGTATCACCAGGGAAGAAATGGAAACAATAATAAGTTTCTCAAGTGCCCCAGGTAGGGGTCCCCATCACCACTGAGGACGCCCTGTGATGTGCGGCTGCCAAAGGGAGCGGAGGAGAGAGTTGCCAGCTTAGAACTGATAGCTATCACTTCCATCTCATTGGAGAACCTCTACGGTTTTGTATCATAAAACTGCAACAATTATAGGACCATCACACAACCTGCTCAATCCATTCGCTGAAAATTGCTTGAAAGTGTAGCAGTTGACTACTGTGGCTTTGAGTTGTCCTCATTGTTTTTCAAATTAATACCTTGTCATTGTTTCAGCAGGTGTTAAGAAATGTTACTAGCATCCCAGGGGCCAGGCATTGGCCCTTTGCTTGATAATTGTTTGCTTTGTATCAGGAAAAAAAAAAATACAGTCCTACTGTTTCCAAACCTTCCTCATTTTCACCCTGGAAATTACACAGAAGTGTTAACTAACTTCAATTTGCAGTGCCTGACAGTCACGTCTTGTAGAGAAATGATACTTTGTGATCTAAGGTAAAATCACAGTAATGAAAACTAATCTTTTTAGTTATTAGCAAACATACATATCGACTGTGGAAATTTAAGGGATTTGTGGCAGCTCTCCTAATGACCCATATTACAGTGTTTTAATAGGTTTCTTTGGAGATAACTTTGATTGCAACAGCTCAAGCAGTATGCATTCTTAGTTTTGTTTGGTTTTTCTTACCATAAATGATTTTGTAACTACTGAATGAGACCACCTGCTTACCTTTCCAGAACATCTAATTTATTTAAAAGTCTAATCCTTCCCCCTCCCCATCTTTTTGAATCCTTGGACTCTAAAGCTATACCTAGGAACCAAAGACAATTGGTTGAATGTCTCCTTTGAGTAAACTAATAAGGAAATACTCACTATATACTCAGGTTAAACTACCCCCACAATATGACTTAGGTAGGAGGCTGTATAGATTGAAACAGAATTTTTTTACTTGTCACATCCTCAGTTTTTTAAATTGAGGGGATCAGGGAAAGCTGTCACTTTTTTAATATTACTTAAGGACAGACAGTGGAAGATAGAGTATTTTTGAGTATTTTTTGATGGAGCTTTCAACCAAAAGAAAAACCAGAGAATATCTCTGGGTTATCTGGTGAAGATTTATCCATTAGAGTATCTTTGCCAGAAAAAAAAAATAATAATAATAATAGGGAAAAAAAAAAAAAAAAAACCTGTACAACCCTGCAATCTCAATTCCCCTCTTGCCGGGTTGAATTTCTAGAAAGAACTGGAGATTTTAATGTCAGTTTCAGTTCCTGGAATCTCAGTCCAGGCTGTGGAGAGTGATGCCATATATGGTGGACCCTCTGGATACAGTGTACTCTGGACAGCTCCCGGCTCTAGGGGAGAGCTTCAAACTCCAGGGGAAGTGCTGGGGGTCCAGGCAGGGTGAAGTGGGGAGAGCACGCAGGGGTAGTCGAGAAAGAGCCGCTGTCTGAGAATTCCATGTTCACATTCTCCTGTCTCTTTGCAGAAACCTGGGATGGACGTGGCCGATGCATACGTGACTTTCGTCCGCCACTCTCAGGATGTCCTTCGTGATAAGGTCAATGAGGAGATGTATATAGAAAGGTTATTTGATGTAAGTAAATGCCTTCTCCTCCTTGAAGGCCAAGGAGGAGACCCTCCAAAATGTGACAAAATAAAGAGACAGGAGGATAAGTCACATTTTGAGAAAATGGATTGGTCCTGATGCAAACTAAATCTTTTCCTTCCCTTCCGCCTTAGGCTCCTATCTGTCCTGTGTCTGTCCCCAACCCTCCCTGGCGTGGCCGTGTCTCAGTTCTCACCCGTGTGATACATAGCGCGGCACACAGCCTCGCACAAGCCGGCTTCTCCCTGCACGAAGCTTGTGAGGTGGCTGCTTCCTCTAACTGGCAAAGACCTTCCTGGGTCATGGTTCCTCTTCTTGCAACCCAGCCCTGCTTTAGGGAGATGCTCCCTGCCGCCTGGGAGACTGCAACTGGCCCTCTCCTGAGGGTGGTTCACAGCTGTGGCAGGAAACGTAGCATCGTTATCACTTCAAAGATGATTGCGTTTCTGGAAGACTAGAAATCTTTAGCTAGCCCTGGGTTTTGGCAAACACTTAATGTTAGTTCCTTGTTCTTTTGCTGTCCAAACCGGGGAGTCCCTTCCCCACCTTCCCTACCCCACCCTCTTAAAAATTTGGAAAAAGAAGCAGGGGTATAAAGAGCAGTTACATCAGGCTGCCAGACCTGGCTTGAAGTTCAGAGAACAAATTTCTGAGGAGTAATAGTTACCAAGTAAACTTACTTCCACTGTGACTACATCTGCACTCCCAAAGCAAACCACTGAGGTAAAAAGCAAAAAATAAAAAGGAATCTGCTTCGGTCTCAAATTTTCTGCCTCTTTCAGGCCAAAGCAGATGGGGCTGCCTGATTTAGCCAGATATTTTGTTTCAAGTTCCCACCGAATTTGCCAGTGTAGACCCGGCCAGAGTGCATGGAAGCCGGCATACTTGTCTCCGTGTGGCTCTGATTGTACGGCCTACTTCTGTCTTGTGAAGCGTGAGCTCCTCCTGTCCAGGTTTCTGTATTTTGAGTGCCAGCTTGAACATTAATGTTTTGGTCTACTATGGAATCCGTGTTTCTATATTTTTTCCGCGATTGTGTTCAGCAATTTACATCGAGTTTGTGTGTGTGTGTGTGTGTGTGTGTGTGTGTTTGTTCCATGGCTAAGTGAGCTCATTGTTGGCACCGCTTAAGAATCTGCAGCTCCTGACTTTTCTGCGCTTTGTCTTCCAGTTCATTTGCTTTCCTCGTGTGTTGAAAAGGCTCCTGTCTTTTTTTTTTCTCTTTTCTAATCATCCCCTTTCTGTGTTCAATATCGCTCTTTCCTCTGCATCACCTTTCTTCGAGAAAACCCTTCTTACTTTTTAATTCCCACCCGTCCTCTCTCAGATTAAAATGGAACTTATCTCTCATGTCAAATGTTTTATCACATTGTATCAAGTGGCATGAATTAGAATCAAATAATCTTCCTGTGTACATCTTCTAGCATGGCCCACATCCACTGAGAATGCCTCATACATGCATAAAGCTCACCGGCGGGTCCTCTGCCTTCTCTGCATGCGTGCCTTTATGAAAGTACCAAGCCTGGAGTGTCTGGGGCCCAATCACCCAGCCAGTAGGCATTGAAAACAGTCAGGCAGCACCCTTGGGTCTGCGTTTTGGAGTATGGACTCTCTGCCCATCTCCGCTGAATGAAATTCCAAGCCACAAATGTTCAGGAAGCCTGTGGGGTTGTTCTTTTCAATGCCTAGGTTGCCTTTTTTTTCTTTTCTTTGATCAGTATCTTCTAATTCTCAGTTTTGTGTGGCCCTCGTGTGCGTGTGTGTGCGTGTTTCTGTGTGAGAGTGTGTGTGAATAAGCCAGTGCTCTCCAGAACTTGCAGACATCTAATACTGAATTTCATATTGAATCCACAGTTTAGCCTATTATTTCATTGACAAATAACCCACTTTTTCCTCCTGTTTTTTTTTAATTAGAAGTCGTACATGGTGGGGGAAAAATGTTTTTAAGGTGGCTTTGTCGAAGGCAGCAAGGCAGATTGTCCTTTTCTGGGGCTTTTTTAAAGGGAAAGTACAACTGGATCTTGATTTAAAAAGTATGGTCGTAGCTTTGGCCAGCACAGATGGTAAACTGGACTTGCCCAACTGTTGAAGAACAGAGGCAAATTCAAGCCCTCTGGTCATTGGTGTGAATTAATAATGAAAAGAAACAGTACACAGAGTATGTTTCTCAGGATGCAAATTATGTTTAGAGTTATTCAAAAATTCACAAGTATGTCAGATCCCTTGTGGGATTACAAACTGACCAGCATAAAATGGCATCAGTAACATTATCAGAATCCCCACAATTTAATCTCCCATTGTCCTAATTCTGTTTTTCCAAAGGAATCTTAATTGCACTTTCCTGAATATCTGAGTTTAAAACTTAACCATTACAATCATGCACTGAACATCACTCCCACCCCTGTGGGAAAAATTTTTTTCAGCAGTTTTATTTCAAGATAGCAAATTTCTGTGCCATTTACTTCTTTACTTCCCAAATAACCTTCTCCCCTAATTTACAGAATATTGGTGCTAGGCAACCTAACTGATGTCGTGCAGGAAAAGTTCTAGAATCTGTCATGATTTTAAAACATTTGTCATTCGATAAAACCCAGAGCTTCTCAAAAAGCTTCATTACCATGCAGCCCCAGTAATTTAATTCAGTACTTACTGTTTTTCTATAATCTAGCAGCAAAACATCAGATTACCAACATGTTTGATTATCTTCGGCTTCTGTTTCCTCAAGTAGGGTGTTTCTTTCTTTACATATATGCTCTGGAAGGCCCTCATTGTCCACTAAGCTGCCCAAGGGAATCAGAATGTTGAGGCAAAAAGGGTGTCTGTAAAACCTCTCACCCTACATTTCTTGCTACAGTGAACTTACCCTTTCAACTTCATTCTTAATGATAGTGGTCCTGGGGCGGGTTTCTACACAATTGGCAGAAAGCTATTGAGAAAAACTTGTTGATCTGAGAGGTGTCTCTTCCAAATTGTTGCATTTTGATAAATGGCAAAAATGAATAATAGAACATTAGCATTTTGAATGAGGAAAAATATATGTATCTCCGAGATTGTTTGCTGTTTGGAGGTTGTTGATTTTGATTATTGTGTCATTCTGTTTTTTAGTTCCTGCTGGCATCTGTCATTCAGAGGCGTGTTCTCAGAGTTCCCATTGTATTTTTAACGGTGTTTCAAAGTCTCAGTTTGATTTACTTGGGAAGTCCTTTAAGTTCTTGTTATTCAGGATTATTTTCATTTGCTTTTCTTTTTTTTTTTTTTTTTTGCCTCTTGAGTGTACCTTGTGGAAGAGGCTGGATGGCTTTAGTGTGTATCTGTTCCTGAGAATATTTAGACTAATACCCAGTCATTTAATGAGTGCATCTTCCGTTTTAACCAAGCACCGATTTCCATGTTCTCTCTCTCTGTCTCTGTCTGAGCTGGGTTTTTTTTTTTTTCCTCATCATTGTACTTCTGGCTGGAATTGGGTGTTTGTGGGAGATTATCGGCATAGCATTTGGGGCTCTATATTTAATGTTCTGCATTTTTATCTATTTTATTATGTAACTTAAGAACAGCTTTCCAAATTCATCTTTGCCAAAAATTTTTTTTTTAAACAGGCATTTTCTAGGTTGATTGAAGAAATACAGTCAAGCATAATGTTGTCTCACCAAGTCTTTTCAATGCAGTGAAAAGTTTCCCTGTTTATTAATCATTGATTCACATAGTCCTCCTATAAAATGCTAGCAACCTTTTTAGTCATGCACCTAAAAAAACCACTGATCAGTTCAAAATTAAGTGCTGACAGGAAAAGAATCCTTAAACTGTTTTTCTTGGTATTTCAGATATGTAGCTGTACATTTTTTCATCTGCATGTTTGTAATTTTTTTTTTTTTTTGGCTAAAAAAAATGGTGAGCCATTGTAAACCAGTTCTAATTGCTACAAAATAACAGTTTATAATATTTTGGGGAGAAAGAAGATGCAGAGGTTTAGAGCAAGCAAATATGCCGATATATACAATCATAGGAAATCTAAATTATATTAAAGATGCTGAATTCTGAAAAGAGAATCTGATTGCTGTCAGACTCAAGTGAGAGCTTGGCCTCTTTGAAAATTATTGCTGACTTTTAAAGAAAATATAAAACATGGAGATGAATAATCTCCATATTCCTGAAGCAGCAGCTTGAAAAGGAAAGCACAGCCCAAGAAATAACTCGAAGATAGCGATTTAAAGCTTGAGTGTCCATAAATCATGCAGATAGCTTCCCCCCACCTCCTCTGGTGATTAATTCACCATTTTCCCCCGAAACAAAAACATGCTTTTGGAAATTAGAGATCAGATCATCAAGAGAAGCACCTAAGATTTCAAGGTCCAAACAAAAATTAATTTATTTTCTTTCCTCCTTGTACTTCTTGAAGACACAGACTGAGAAGAAAATCGGGATTAAAAGAGATGTGCTTAGGGTGAATTCATCTGCTTAAACCTCACAGGCTCGGAGATGAGTGATTAAAAAGCCATCTCGAACTTGGATGGCATCCACACTGGGGGTAATGCTGCATGCACACCGCCTTCCCCAGGCCCCCTTGTCACCGTGAACCAGACCTAGGGCACACTGGGCTGGAGATGATACGTGGATTATATAGGTCAATTATACACTTAATCTGCCTTCTGGAGGATTAAGTATTTGCAGATTGACTCTGCATTTGGCTTCTCCGTGGCAGTTATCAGATCAGGAAAGGGCCCCCTCACCACACCGCCTCATAAGCACTTAATCAGGCAGCGCAGTCAGGTTCGGTTGGGGCCGCCGCCCCATATTCTCTGCCTTTCACGGATTTTAATTTGCTGTTCCATTATCAAATCTTGTATTTGTCCACTTTATGTGTCAGCCCAGTAATTGAGTGTGAATATGTCCCTTTAAAGGGGTAATTTGAAAACTGAAACCCCTGCCTATTAAAATATGTTTGCTGTATTTATTTATATAAGGCGCCACAGATAACCTGATTAAATTAC